CTCCTGGGCGCCTTCTGGGGCGGAGGGCTCGATTTTTCAGTTCTCTGTATCCCTCTTGAGCCCCTCTTGGGCCCGTCTTGGGGCCTCTTGGTCCGTCTTGGGCGGCACTTGGGCCGTCTTGGGGGCCCTCTTGGGCCGTTTCGGGGCCGTCTTGGGAGCTTCGTGGGCCGTCTTGGAGCGATCTTGGGCGCCTCTTGGGTCGTCTTGGAGCGTCCGGAAGCCGAAAAAGCCAGAACGCAAAAAACATCGGAAAAACCAATGAAAATCAACGATTTTGGCCTCTTGGGGCCCTCTTCGGAGGCCTCTTGGAAGGCTCTTGGGGCGTCTTGAAGGCCTCTTCGGCTGTCTTGGGGGTCTCTTGGGCCGTCTTGGGGTCATCTTCGGCGCCTTGGAGCGCTCTTTGAACGTCTCGGGGGCCTCTTGAGCAATCTTGGGGGCCTCTTGGGGCACTCTTGGCGCGCTCAGGGCGGCCTGAGAGGCCGCACCCAGAAGGAAAACCATCTCTGAGTTGAACCGGGCGGGACCTTCCCAGGCGGCGGGCGGGGTACTTTTCGCCGGGGGACCCCCAGGGGCCGCCCCGCGCGCGCGAACTAGTACAATATACAATTGTCTATTTATTTGTGTGTCCCAGGGCCCCTTCAACCAGGGGATGCCCCGAGAGGGGCGGCCTCTTGAGGAGCCCCTGGCCACGCCCCCCCTGCCCTCCTAAGAGGCCCCCCGCCCCGTCGGAAAGGCCGCGCCCCTCGCAGCACTCCTCCTCGTGCGCGCTGCCGCCTCATTTCAGTAGAGACCCGTGGCAAGAAGCGCGCTTGGTGCCCCTGGGTTCCTTGGACTCCGATGGTTCTGCGATGGAAAGCGTGACGCTCCCACACCAAACATCCATGGACGTCCTGGGGTCTCAGGCTTGAGTTTCTTGTGGAAGGTTTCTTGTCGTCAAGCTCCTACTGCGTGACAGTTCGGCTCCGAAGGTTTTCAGAAGGCTGCCCATGGTTTCCAGAGATTATCTGAGGTTTTTGGGGCTTGAGGTGGTTTCCATCAGCTGCCCCGCCCCATGTCGAGGGCCTTCCAGGTGGCCAGAATCGCCCCAAACGGCCGCTCGAGGTCCGAGTTATGGCCCAAGCACCAAGCTCAGGGACGTCAAGGGGGTCATCGCTCACGGGGATCAGCACGACCCGTTCGATCCGTTCTGGTGGCCGACCTGGGCCTGGAGCCACGCGGGTCTCCGTTCACCGCCCTCCGCTCACCTTGGTCTGGGGACTAATGTGCGACCAGCAACGAACATGACAATTATCATGACGATTGCGATGATACATGCGACGATGCCGCCGCCGCCGCAGTCGCCGATGGCGTTGACTTGGACTACTTGGACAGATTGCCGCGGCGGTGACGGCGACAATTTGGCTGGACGACTTAGTCGACTTATGTGGGTCCAGCGCCGATCCAAGAAGTCCGCGCGGACTTTCAGGCGGTTCTGCGCTCCTGCAGAGCAAGGACCCGACCTCGTGTGCGGAACACATGCCCGTGTTGTAGTGGCCTCCGGCCAGTGCCGCCGATCCGGGGCGCTCCGGATGATGATGATGAAGGTGATGAAGGTGATGATGGTGAGGGTGATGATGATGATGATGATGATGATGATGATGATGATGATGATGATGATGATGATGATGATGATGATGGTGATGTGACGATGGTGACGGTGACGGAGATGGTGATGATCCCGGCCCCCCTCTCTCCTGTCCCCCCTCCCTCTCTCCTCTCCCCCCCCCTCTCCTGTCCCACCTCCCCTCTCTGCTTCCCCCCCCCCTCCTGCAGAGCAAGGACCCGACCTCGTGTGCGGGACACATGTCCGTACCTGCGGCCACGCGGTCAGGTCCCTGGGTCGCGATCCCGCGGATTACGGGGCGCTTTTTCGCGGATGTCCCGCGCGGGACGTATCCGTGCGACTGCGTACCCGCGGGATCGCGCCCTGGAATCCAGACCGCGAGGGCATGGAGACGGATGTGTTCTCCCAGCAAATGGGGTCGGAGGTTCGCGCCCGCCGATGCTCCGATGCGGCTCGACGTGTAGCCCGACGATTTCACGCCGATGGCTCCGGAGCATCGCCGACGTCGCCGGTGCATCGCCGATGCTTCGCCCGGCGATGCATTGCTGCGTTGGCGATGCGGCCCGATCTCCCGACCCCATCCACTCGGAGCCCATCTAGAAGGCCTCCATACTGTGTTCGCCGCTCGTGACGGCCAGCTGTTTTCGCAGTTCGGAGGGATGATAAGCGACACCAACACCACCAGGGGGCCACCTCCAGCGAGGAGGTCCAGGATGCCTCCTCGAGCTGGAGGTCGGGGATGTGTCGAGCGAGAGGGGGAGACCGCACCACCAGGGAGACCCCCCTTGCCCTCTTGCCTCCTTGCATCTCCTCGCCCTGGTGGTGTTGGTGTCGCCTTTCCTTCTTCCTGACAGTCGCCCTCCCCGATGCGCCCCGGCCGCCCCCCGGCCTCGGCGGCCGCGGCAGCCGCCGCGCCTCCGGCCGCGGCCGCGGCGGGGCGTGCCTGGGGGGCGCCGTGGTGGATGCCCAGGCGCGGCGCGGCGGAGAGCGGCGGCGGCGGGCCGGCCCGGCGGGCCGCTGGGCGGCCAGCCTGACGTCGAGCAGTGGCGAAGCGTCCTGGCCTGCCCATAGGCCCACCACAGGATGTTCTGGGAACCTTTTGTGGTCCGCACGAGATGTTCTCGGAGCCTTTCTGGCTAAGACTGCCTTGTTTTAAAGCACCGGGCTGATGTTCTAAGAACACTGCTTTCGTTCCCAGACCATTTTCGGTTTATTTGTAAAAAACATATCGTGGTAGGCCTATGGAAATGCAGGGACGGTCGGTCCCTGCTCAACTGACGGGCTCCTCGATCGAGGATCTCTCTAGGCCTCCAAGAGGGGATCGCAGGATCGTGCCGCCTCGCCGATGCATCGGCGATGCGGCTCGATGTGGAGCCCGATCGTCTCCACGCTCATGGCGCCGTGGGGGGAGAGGGGAGGGCTGCTTAGAAGCACCCCTGCTCCTTAGAAGGCGCGGGCCTTATCCATGGATGTAAGGCAGGCGCCCTCTAAGAAGCAGCCCCCTTCTAAGAAGCCCTCCCACCTTCCTCCACCCCCATGTGCGCGCCGACACAATATCGCCGTTGCATCACCGATGAATCGGCGACGCGGCGCTCTTCCCTCCTTTTGCTTGCTCTGGGCTCCCGCATTCCGACTGCAGCAGCCACTGCGCCTGACGAGGCGCACGCAAAAGCGGCCCCATCTGGCGAGCGCACTGAGAGCCTCCTGTGGGACTCGAGCCCTCGTGGGGAAGCGTAAGACCCGAGTAAGCCGGTACTCGGGTCTGCCGAAGTTTTCTGACGAGCGCGTCTTGGATTTTGACGGCCGATTTTTCGTGGGATGTCTGCGGCGGGAGCCCGCGTCAAATTCCAGATTCGGTCTCGTCATTTTTATGATGGCCCTCGTCGGGCCAACCTGAGTCCCCCGTACCTGAGTCTTACGTCTCCCAGGTTCATAACATGAGCCGGTGCTGTGCCACCCAAGCTGAGCCCGACGGGCGGGCTCCCTTATCGAGGCTCGAGGCTCGAGAGTCGAGGTGTTTGCAGTTGCTTTGCCTCTGTCGGCCCTCTCTGGGCCTCCACTGCGCCTTGGTGCATGCCCTTGCGGATGGAGGGTCGGGCCGGCGGACGGGCGGCCATGGCTTCCCGGGCCTTGCCTCCCGGAAGGTCAGGGGAGCCGTGCTCGCCCGGAACACCGTGGTGGGTGATCGCAGGCGATTCTCCCCCAGCCCCCGGCTTTTCGACGAAGGATGCAGCCGCTCAGAAAAGGAGGGGAACCCTGGGATGCACCCTAGGGGGGGGCCATTCGGACGCATCTCTATCGAGGATGGACGCCGCCCCATCGTAACATCCCAGGGTTGGGCCCCCAAAGAGAAGCCATGAATACTTCTCAGTTTCTCCCCACCCACCCCCAGAGAGGAACCATGAGTACTCCTGCACGAGGTGTAGAAAACCACCAATAGATTTGGTAGGTTTTACAACTAAAACTTGATAGATTCGATACTCTGATTTCTCTTGAAATCGCCTCCTCCTCCTCCTCCTCGTTCTCCCCGTCCTTGTCCTCTTCTATGACTGCACTCCTTCTCTACGTCCTCCCTCCGTGCCCCGTCCGAACTTTTAATCGCCACCTGCTTCGCAATCTCCATGCACTCCCCCTCAAAGGGACCAATGTGCGATGGAACCATCGTATTTCGCAGGTTTCGTACTCGTCCCATACCTCTATGCAGCCTCCCCAAGTGGCCAGTGCATCATTATACCATCGTATTCCTCAGGATTCGTGCCCACCCAACTCCTTCAAACAAGCTCCAGGGAAAGACTTCTCAAGATCAAATTGGAGGTCGTTCAAGGCCCATCCAGACATCCCAACATCGATATCTCTGGGAACAGTTTTTTCGCCTCCCAGGACCCCGAGTCTGCTTATTCCCAGGGTGCGATTCTCACTGGCATGGGGTTATTAAAATTCTGAAACGCTCACGGCGGCCCTTCGGCCGACCCGTATGCCGCCCCTCCGTCCGGTGCAGAAAAGAAGGTTTTCTGCACGGACGGCCAGAGCCACTTGCAACAAGTACCATGTTCTGCACACGTCGACTCGCACCGCTTACGGTCCTATGCACAAGCATCCATGGTGTGCACGCAAGCTAGTCCTGACAGCGACCGGGCTTGTCCCATCCTATCTACGCCGGTAAATACAATCCCGTGCACATTACCTTTTCACACAGTTTCTTACAAGGATTCTTACAGACTTCTCGTAAGGCTTCTCCCGCTTCTCAAAGGCCTCTCACATGAACTCGCATGCAGCTTCTCAACGGCCTCTCACAGTGCATTCCAGAGGCCTCTCTCAGGGCCACTCAGAGGCTTCTCTCAAGCTGCGCAGAAGCCTCTCATATGGCCTCCCACAAGCCCTCTCAGGGCCTCTCAGAAGACCGCCCAGAGGTTGTGCACAAGGCCTCTCACACAACCTTTCACTGTGTACAAGACCTCTGTGTACAAGTGGCGGGGGTCCCGAACCCGCGGCCCCTTTTTCCAAGGGAGGGAGGGGAGGCGGTCGAAAACTATCCACCCATTTTAACAGGGGGGGAGGCGGGGGGGTTTTGCGAGCCCCCCCCCTTTCCAAGTGGAGGGGATCCACTGGCGCTCTTCCGCTCAGGAGCTCTGCCCCTCCGTGGACGGCGTATGGTCTGCCGATGCTGAACTGCGAGCCCAGGGCAGCTTACCATCCGATTCGATGAGGTTCGATTTGCCCGCTGTTCCTGCCATTCCGATTCGATTCGGTTCTGTTCACTGGCAGTGGCCAGCGCCAGCCGGAGAGGGGCTCAGCGGTCCGTTTTTGTCCGAATCGCTGGCGGCCCGATCCGTTTCCGATCCGGTCCGGCTTCTCCGTTCGATTCAGGTGAGGCCTGGACCTCGCTCCTTCATCGGTTCCGGGCCGTTCCGTAGATCTATGTCGGTGAACACATTCGTGGCTGAGACTTTCCGTGGCCATCAGTACAAAGCTCGTTCGTCCCGTCGTCAGCGTTCCTGGTGGTAGTACGTTGTATGTCTGCCGATGCCGAACAGTGAGCCTCGCTCCTGGCGGACGACGACGGTGGATGGCGAGGGGATGCGCCCCAGGTCTCTGGCGGATGCGGCGGCCGTCGTGGCGGCCGTGCTGGTCCGCCCCCCGCGGGGCGCCCTTGGAGAAGAGAGCGGGCCGGGCTGGGCGGCCGGTCCGTGGCGAGTGTGCGCAGATGGCATATCAGTGGCATCACCAGGAGGGGATACGCCCTGGGGGATGCACATACCCTCAGTTGCCCATTGATCGACGATGGTGGCGCGTCCGCCCACCCCGCCCAGGAGCGTGCGGATTCGCAATCGGGGGCCCTTCGCCGATCTATCGGCGGTGTATCGCCGATTCCAGATCGATGTTGCTCCCCCTGAGCAAGTCCACCCCTCACGATCCCTCTAATGTCAGCGGGGTAGTTGAGGTTTCGAGAGGAGGACGAGTAACAGTCACAGTTGCCGGAGGACAGGAGGAGGAGAAGCTCGAGGCTCGGGAGGGAGGAGGAGGAGGAGGAGAAGGACGAGGAGAAGGAGGAGGAGGAGAGGAAGGAGGAGGAGGAGGAGGAGGAGGAAGAGGGTGAGAAGGAGGAGGAGGAACAGGAGGAGGGTGAAATGCAGGAGGAGGAGGAGGAGGAGGAGGAGGAGGAGGGAGGAAGAACGTGAGAAGGAGCAGGAGGAGGAGGAGGAGGAGAAAGAGGAGGAGGAGAAAGAGCAGGCATAGAGTCTTCGGCGTTGCACATCGCTGAGTTTCAGGAGGAGGAGGTAGAGGAGGAGGAGGAGGAGGAGGAGGAGGCGGAGGAGGACGGTGAGAATGAGGCGGAGGAGGAGGAGGAGGAGGAGGAGGAGGAGGAGTAGAAGAAGGAGTAGGAGGGTGAGAAGGAGGAGGCGGAGGTGGAGTAGGAGGTGGTGGAGGAGGAGGAGGAGGAGGAGAAGGAGCAGGCATAGAGTCTTCGGCGTTGCACATCGCTGAGGGTGTCTATCGTCCTGCAGCTTAGGGATATAATCGGCGTCGGCGTCGTCGTCGTTGGCCTCCGGCCAACATCCGCTCAACGGGTTTCCCGGTACATAGCCTTCGAGGCTTCCAGAGATTAGGTCTGCAGAATCTTCTTGGCCTCCTCCTCCTTCCTCTCCCTGGTTTTCACCTCCCCCTTCCTCCTGCCTTTCTCCCTTTGCGTTCTTTCTCTTCCTCCGTCTTTCCTCCTCCTCCTCCTCCTCCTCCCTCTCCTCTTCCCTCTCCCCTCCCGGCTCGCGCCCCCGTGGACACGTCGGCGCGCGCTGGCGCGGGCGCTCAGGGTCGAATGCTTACAGGCGGCCCAAACTGGGCCAGCCCCCGAGCTCGCCATGGAGCGCACAAGCCCTGAGGCCTCTCGCCGCTCTTTTGGCTGCTCCCGGTGCCCTCCTTGGGCCGGGTGGTCCGTGGCTGATCAGGGGCGACGCCTTGGAGGCGAGAGGCTCGGGGAGGAGGAGGAGGAGGAGGAGGAGGAGGAGGAGGAGGAGGCCACGCTGGTTGTTGCAAGTACGTAGCTAATTTTGGGTTCCCAGTCTATTTCAGGCGCCTTCCTGCTTCAAGAGTCGATGAGCTTTTGCGCTGTGTTTTGTGATTCTCGAGGAGGGCCTCGGCACAGTCTACGTTATCCGCCTTCCCACTTCATGTTTCTACCCACTTCTTCCGACCGACGGGTAACGCATCGACCCTCAATCGCCCATTCATCGCCGACGTGGGGCCTGGTAGGCCCACCAGCCCAGGAACGTGCGGTTTCGCCGTCGGGGGCCTATCGCGTACGTGTCGGCGATGGAGTGCCGATCCACCTACAGCTCTAAGCTACTCCTCAGCGGATTGTCTCAGGATGGATGACGGGCCCTGGGGGAGTGCCCTGGGCCCTGGAATCCTAGGATCCGCCTCCCTCGCGACCCGCGCAGCGGTGCCCGTTGGCAGCCGCCAGTGGCGGCACGTCTGCTGAAAGTGCCCCGTCGTCGCCTTTTGAGATTATCCATCGGCTTACGCTGCGTCGCCGACCACTTGGGAGTCCGGGGTGCCTCTCTTCCGGGGGGCGTTGTCGTAGCAGCGTCTTGGCGCCGTGCGTCCATCTGGGAAGCCCACAGCCGTGTTCAAAAAAAGCCTGCAGCCGTTCCCCCTCCCCTCCCCCTTTTTCTCCTCCCGCGACCTGCCCAGGTCTGTAGTCTCATTGCGCGTATTTGTTGATTTTCTCTTCATATTGCCAACGTGCCATCTTGCCCACGCGTTTGCTTGACGCAAGGCTTCAGTCAGTTAGTCGGTGAGTTGGGTCGTGTTTGGGGCCTCTTGGGAGGCCTCCTCAGAGGCATGCTGGGGGTCTTGGAGGCCCTCTTGCGGGGGGCTCCTGGGGCCGCTTCGACCTCCCCCTCTTGCGCTCCTTCGGAGCCCCTCCTGGGGGTCTCCTGGGCAGTGTTGGGGGCCTCGTGGGCCGTCTTGGGCCTCCTCCTCCTCCTCCTCCTCCTCCTCCTCCTCCTCCTCCTCCTCTCGGGCCGTCTTGGAATGAGACCGCCGGGGCAGACCCCTCCCCTCCAAGCTGGCCGGACCAGGCTCCTGGAGGAGGGGTTTGGGGAGGGAGAATTGTTTCACGCGCCGAGGACACCCCGAGGGATTTGGTGAATGTGTGCCTCTTTGGAATTCGCTTGGGGCCCACATGAGGCGTCTTGGCATCTTGGGCATCTTCGATCGAGGCCACGGGCGATGGATTTGGAGGCCCGTTCCCCTTCCCCGTCCTCTCCCCCCCCCTAACGAGATTTCGGGTGTTCGGGGGGCAGGGGAGGTGGGGATGTGGCGGCCAAGGAGGCTGTCCTCCATGGGCCCCCTCTCCTCTCCGCGATGTTTTTTTATGTCCACCCTTTTTCCGTGCCGCCCCGCCCGACAGCCTGCTCTGGCCCAGTCCTACGCGCTGGATCCCGCCCCTCCCCCCCCCTCTCGCATGCGATCCGCGACCGGGGGGTGATGGGGAGGAGACGGGGGACGCGGAGGAGGGGGAATGAGGAGGAGGGGCAGGAGGAAGGGAAGGAGGAGGAGGAGGATGGGGAAGAATGAGGAGGGGGAGGAACAGAAGGAGGAGGAAGAGGAGGACGGGGAAGTGGAGGAGGAGGACGAGCAGGATGATGTGTATGAGAATTGGAGATGGGGACGGGGAGGAGACGGGGGCATGCTGAGGAGGGGGAATGGGGCGGGATACAAAGCGGAAGTTGGTGGCGGAGGAGGATCATGGGAGAGCAGGACGAGGAGGAGGAGGAAGAGGCCCGCAAGCCCGCTCGACAGAAACATTGTACTCCGTACACATTCTGGCTCAAGTTCTGGCCCACTCGCGCAGACCAGAAGGCATTGTCAGCGCCGCTGCTTCCTAAGTCGGACAGATAGAGAGCTACACTTTGGGCGAGTGGATTAGTTTCTCTCGCGGATCCCGAAATTTCAAAATTAATTTTGGGCTATCGTTCCAAAGTTTGTTTTGCCCGCCATTCGAGGGGGGTCATCGCGTTTGTCGGATTTGCGAGGGCCTCGTCGTCGCTAGCCAGAGTCGGCGTGGAATCAGAAATAACAACTCGCGATTAGGAGGCGGAGGCGGAGCGCGCATATCTTTTAAAATCCTCGAAACATCGTCACCAGGCGAGTTGCCCTGATCACGGGGGGGGCAAAGAGGATGGAGGGATCCAGAACAAGGTCAGAGGTCGTAGCGACCACCAGCGCTCGTGGGACCCATGATGGGCTACAGGAGGAACCCCCAGTGCCCCCAAAACGCCCCACGGGGGCCCCAGACGCCACGACATCCAGATCGAGACCAGATGTCGTGGCGAGCAGGTGCGCTCCTGGGACCTCCCGAGCGCCCCAGGAAGAATCCAAGACCCCGCCAAGCGCTCCAGGAGACCCCCAAGACGCTACGACCTCAGATTGCGGCTGGAGGTCGTGGAGCGCTCTTGGGGCCCCCAGGGACCTCGTTGCGTGCCCTTGGCCGCAGTTGGGTCCCTTTCGGGCATCCCTGGGACGTCCAGCCTCCGCCGCCCTGAGGGCGGCTGGGATTTCAGTGGCCCCTGCCCTCCTGACTCTGCGGGGAGGCGCGGCGACGCCCCCGACCTGTACCCTGCCATTTTCGCTAGGTGCCGGTCTATACGTGCTCGCCCCGCTCGAGACATCCAGCACGTTCAGAACTACACTTAGCCAGGCGCTAGGTGTAGTTCTGTACGTGCTGGTCTCGCCAGGGACATCCTCACAAAACAGAGCACTCATATAACTACACCTAGCCAGCGGGGCGGGGTACATGTCGGGGGCGCGACTCGCGCTCCCGACGTGTACCGTGCCCCGGCCGCTAAGTGTAGTTCTGTACGTGTCCCCTTTTGGCGAAGCATCGGCTGCCCGTGCTGCCCATCTCCGAGGCCCCGTCCCCAGGGCCGCTCCCCGCCGACTTCCCACTTCCTCAGGCTCTGCGAAACCACCTGCATGGCCGCTGTCCTTTTCCGCCTCGCACTGCCCGCTGCCCTTCCCCGCCTCTGCCCCAGTATGATGACCCCAGTGTTTTCTGTGCTTTGGGGCGCCGCTTTGCCTCAGGCGTGATCTCCTCCCTCGTCTCGTGTCTCCGTGCCTTAGCAGCCTCTTTCATTATGTCCTTCCACTTCCACCTCATCCCCGTGTCTCGCCAAGTTTTGTAGCCGCGATCGGTTCTATGCGTGCCGTAAGTAAATGCCTGGCCAGACGCCCCACGCCTTCGAATTCTTTTCCGTGCTGGATCCCCCCTCCACGGATGAAGCGGCAGTTCGCGTTATCATTTCCTGTTGCAGCAGCCGCTTAGCCCCGCCGTGAAACATGCTGATAGTTGCAACGCTTGGCGCCCCACGTGTTTCGCATGACCAGCGCTCCCCGTCGTAGGTCGCGAGGCGGTGCCCGTCCACCCAGACCGACCAGCGCGCCTAACCGAATTTTGATTGCCCCCCCTGGTCCCCGCAACTGGGTGGAGTTTTGCTAAGTGTAGTTTTTGATGTGTTCGACTAAGGCAAGCAGCAAAGATGGCGCCGATGATGAAGCCCACGTTCATGAGAGCGACCTCACCGCAGCGCTCCACGCTCACCGTAGCAATTTTGGCTCAAGGGCTCCAGGGGCTCAAGGGCGCGCGCCTGGCCCCCCTCGGGCCCTTTCTCCCCCCTCGCGGGCGGCGCGTATGGGATGGTGGACGCCGACGGCGCGGCGATGGTGGCCTCCCTGATGGAGGCAGCTGTCCGCGCTGCCGTACGGGAGCGCGCACCGCGCCGCACCGCTGCAGCCGCTGCAGCGGCCGTGGCCACGGCGGTCATGGCGGCGCGGCGTGGCGACGGCGCGCTCGGGGGCGCCACCGAGCAGGCTGCTCCTGCCGTGCCTCCGCGGCGGGGGCGCAAGAGGAAGAGGAAGAGCCAGGCGGTAGACCTGGAGGGAGACGATGGCGGCGAGGCACGGAGGCGGAACGCCAGGCGGCAGCCGTGGGGGCGACGCTTCGCCGCCGGCGCCAGCGCCGCAGGAAGCGGAGATGAAGACGGAAGTCCAGGCGACGTCGAGGAGTCGGAGGTCGAATGCCCTTGCCGGGATCGGTGACCGGACGAGCCTCCAGAGAGCAGGGCCACCTACCGGTGCATCCTTGCTCAGAGTCCGGCTGCCCCAGGAGGGCCACCGAATGGCCACGGTGGTTTTTCCATGATGCACGGCTCCGGGAGCCGCAGCCGAAGTGGGACGGCGAGAAAGGCGCGTGGGAGATCACGATCCGCCAGGGTCGTGACTACTGCACGCTGACAGGCGCGGACCTCGACAGCTACGCGGCCGCCTACCAGGAAACCACCAAGGTGCCGCTGACGCTGGGGCTGCCGCCTGGTGGCCCTTCTCGCCGAATAGACCTTGTCGTCAGTCGTGGGGTCGTTAGGGCATTCGGCCCCTTGCCCAAAGGGAAGATTTCTTCAGGCCGCGTTCGCACCACCAGGCCTTCAAGGTGCATTTCCCGGCAAGGTCATCACGAGGGCCTTCGTCGCAGTCAACATGCTTATTGGACCTGCGAGGTGAAGAGGGGCGTGGTCGGAACGGTTTGAGCTCCCTCGCGAGCATTGCAACGACAGAGGCGAAGAGGAACGGCAAGCTTGTCATCCTGGATCCTGGGCTTTGTGATCATCAGGATCCACCACAAGAAGGCGACCAAGGCTGGGAAGCGCGAGATTTTCGGCAAGGTCGTCATGGCGAAGGCGAAGCCAGCCAAGACCATCGTCAAGGCCTTTCCGCGAAGGCTCCCAAGGACGAGTTCTGAAGGCCTCCCAGCCTACAGCCAGCCCCGCGAAGAGGCCCCACACTTTCCCTCTCTCCGATAATGTTCGTGCCATATTGTCCAGGTCGGCTGGAGGGTGCACGGTTGTGCATGGCCTTCCAGTCCCAGGACGCTCGATGGCGACCGCACGTATTCCACATCCGTCCCGCAGAGATGCAGATCGGTGCACGCAAGTCAGCAGTCCCAGATATTCTTCGCGAGAGCACTCGCAGCTGTTGCTTCTGGGTTGCTTGCGACACCCGTGCTGGAGCATGGGTGCGAGGAGGACAAGGACAAACTCTGTGATGCCGATGGCCATGATGGCCAAGGCACCGATGATGCGCACGATGATGATGATGATAATGATGATGATGATGATGATGATGATGATGATGATGATGATGATGATGATGCTGATGCTGATGCTGATGCTGATGATGATGCTGATGATGATGATGATGATGATGATGACGCTGATGCTGATGCTGATGCTGATGCTGATGCTGATGATGATGATGATGATGATGATGATGATAATGGTGATGATGATGATGATGATGATGATGATGATGATGATGATGATGATGATGATGGTGGCGATGAGGTGGACGATTCTGGTGGTGGTGGTGGTGATTGTGACGACGGCGACTAAGACGGCTCCCGACGACGACGTCGACGTCGAGGACGCCGGCGTCGGCGACACTGATGATGATGATGATGATGATGATGATGGTGATGATGGTGATGTTGCTGATGATGAGGATGTTGACGAAGACGATGACGATGACGATGACGACGACGACGACGACGACGACGACAGCGACGACGACGAGCCCCGCCCGCCGCCCGCCAGGTCCCCTGCTGGGTCCGCGCCGCACGACGATGACCGCGGAGGAGAAGGAGGAGGAGGAGGAGGAGGAGGCGGAGGGAGAGGAGGAGGAGGAGCAGCATGAGGAGGAGCAGAAACATAATGCGTAGGAGGAGGAGGAGGAGTGCGAGGAGGATGAGGAGGAGGAGTGCGAGGAGGAGGAGGAGGAGGAGGAGGAGGAGGAAGTGGAGGAAGAGCGTGACGAGTTGAGGCAGCCGAGGTGGTGGTGAGGCGGGGCTCGATTTTTTCGGTCTATTCCATCTATCTTCGTGCCCCATTCGCCCTCCGCACATTTGACAGCTCGGCCCCAGATCTTCGGAGGATTGTCGCCCGTGCTTGTCGATGGTCTCCGTCTGCGCCAATGATCATGCCCACGATCTGCTGTTTGAGCCGTATTGTTCCTTCTACGATGTCCAGCATGTCGGTGTAGTCGCTAACCAGGTGCGTTGATGACCAGGCTGCCGCGTGTTGAATCTGATAACTGGTTGTCCAAGCCGTCAGCCGCTGGTGAAAGCGAATGTGTGGGGGAGGAACGATGTGTGGATACCCATTCCAAACCACAATGGCTCCTGTACTCTTGAGATGTAGTAGATCGCAGGGGCCGCGCCAGCCCTCCTGGTCCTCCTTTTTCGGCGTCCGATACAGGTCGACCAGGTCACCCACTTTGATTTTGTTCGGTGTCGAGTTTCTGTGCGCGTGACTTGTTGGCGATGGCTGTCCGTTCCTCGACAGTCGTCCTAAGAACGTTTTGCTTAGATGAGGTTATCATTCTCACGTTAGATTCGAACGTCTCTGGAGAAATCTCAAGTGCACCTTTATGAGCCGTCGCCGTCGCTGAGTCTACGTCATAGAGATCTCTTGGTGCGTATCCGAGCAGGGCATCGGCTGGAGTGTTGTCCCCGAAGTTCAGCGTAAGGTTATGAGACATGGCGTCCTCTTATACCAGAGTCTCCTTTGAAATCTGAAGCCCTTCCTCCTCCGCTACCGCTACGTTCTTCAACGCAATCGATGTGGCCATGCGGATGTGCGATTCCACCAGTCCGATTGTCGTCGTATTTTCTTTGTTCGGGTCAGTGCCTGCGAACTCTCTCTTAATCGTGAACCTATCCAATGTGGTTCCAGCGAGATCTGATGTAAGCGAGCCTTCTTGATCTGATGCAAACGTCTCCAAGGGGCAAAACAATATGATCCAACGCTCTACCATGCAGCGTAAGTATTCTGGGGCTGTTTTATCTTTCATGACGCCGATGACCTTGCACCTGGTATGTTCGTCCACCAGCGCAAGCCATGCCATGTCCCAGAGAATGAAGAGATTGCCTTGAACTCGCTCGTTGAATTTCGTAATGATCTACGCCCTGAACGCCGGTGGAGAAGAGGCATCGCGCACTGGCGGCGCGCGTCGCACAATTCCTTGACCACTTGCGGACAGAGCTTGATAATGCTTGCTTCCGCTCCGAGCGCAGCCAGTAGTCTCGCCATCTCGTCAGGACTGGCGTGTCAGAACTTCAAAAGAAATCCCAATGCTAGGGCCCACCTAGCTTGCTCTGAAGCCGCCTCTTCGAGTAGATGCTTGACGCGCTGCAAGTCGAAATTGGGCTTGATGGCTATCCCTTTCTTCGGTGGTTCCGCGATGATGCTTGGCTGGTCCGCGGTATCGCCCTCATTGCTCGTGTCCGTTTGATTGGGAGCAAGCCCAGGTGGGGGTTCTGGTACGGGTTGTTCTGGAGCCGATGCTGGCTTTGGTACTGGTGCTGGCGCAGGAGGTGGAGCTGCTTGTGGTACTTGAGGAGGGACTGGTGCTGGTACTGGATGGAGCTGGTGCCACCGCGGGAGGTGGTCCGGCTGCCTTAGGTGGTTCTCGTTTCGGGTCGAACCTGTAGCCCTTCACTCGAGTGTGAGGCGTACCTGCATTTTGGCCATGTCTACCTACACCTCTCGCGCGTCCAGAATTCGCCGGCCCAACGGGCCAGAGGCGTGCTAAGATCTCCAGTACCTGGTAGACAGTATTTCTGGTTCGCGCGCGCGGGGCGGCCCCTGGGGGTCCCTGGATCAAAAGTACCCCGGGCGGAGCCCGGGACACGCCCGGGACACTCCGCCAGATCCTCCAGGATCGCCCCAAGAGGGCACCAAGAGGCCCCCACCACAATCCAAGAGAGGTCCGAGAAGCCCGAAGCTCGCTCCACGGCGCCCAAGATGGCCTCCAGACGGCCGAAGAAGTCTCCAAGATGACCCAACAAGCCTCCAAGATGCCCCAAGAGGCCTCCAGGAGCACTCCCAAGAGGGCCCCAAGAAGCAAAAATCAATGTTTTTTTTCCTTAGGTTTTGGACAGATTTGGGCGTTTCAACCTTTTCGGTTCCCCGACGCCCTCAACGGCTCAAGAGGCCTCCAAGATCGCCCCAAGAGGGCCCAAGAGGCCCTCAAAAGGAACCCAAGACGGCCCAAGACGGCTCCAAGACGGCCCCAGAGGCCTCCAGGACGGCCCAAGAGGGCCCCAAGAACGCCCCCAACACGGTCCAAGAGAGGTCCGAGACGCCCAAAGATCGCTCCACGACGCCCAAGATGGCCTCCGGACGGCCCAAGACGTCTCCAAGATGGCCCAAGAAGCCTCCAAGATGCCCCAAGAGGCATCCAAGAGAACTCCCAAGAGGGCCTCAAGAGGCAAACAACTGTGTTTTTTCTTTTGGTTTTGGACAGATTTGGGCGTTTTAACCTTTTCGGTTCCCCGACGCCCCTAAACGGCTCAAGAGGCCTCCAATATCGCCCCAAGAGGGCCCAAGAGGCCCCCAAGAGGGCCCCAAGAGGGCCCAAGACGGCTCGAAGACGGCCCCAGAGGCCTCCAGGACGGCCCAAGAGGGCCCCAAGAACGCCCCCAACACGGTCCAAGAGAGGTCCGAGACGCCCGAATATCGCTCCACGACGCCCAAGATGGCCTCCAGACGGCCCAAGACGTCTCCAAGATGACCCAAGAAGCCTCCAAGATCCCCAGGAGGTCTCCAAGTGCATTCCCAAGAGGGCCCCAAGAGGCAAACAAACAATGCTTTTCCATAGGCTTTGGACAGATTTGGGCGTTTCAACCTTTTCGGTTCCCCGACGCCCCTAAACGGCTCAAGAGGCCTCCAAGATCGCCCCAAGAGGGCCCCAGGCGCCCCCCAGAGGGCCCCAAGAGGGCCCAAGACGGCTCCAACACGGCAAGAGGCCTCCAAGACGGCCCAAGAGGGCCCCCAAAACGCTTCAAGAACGCCCCAAGAGGGGGTTCACGAAACAGAATTTCGAGCTCTCGGCCCTTAGAGGCCCCCGGGTGGCCCCAAGACGCCCCCGAAGGCCCCAAGAGGCCCCCAAGAGGCCCTCAAGAGGCCTCAAGAGGCCTCCAAAAGGCCCTCTGGAGGCCTCCAAAAAACCCTCAGGAGGCCCCCAGGACGCCTCCAAGACTCCAGCCAGACGCGACTTGGGAAACGCGGGTCGGGGTGGTCCTCCCCCGCGTTCGGCTCCCGACGCCGCAGCTCCACACTGTAAACGACCACTCGGACAGGCGACCACGGTGCGACATTATGGGCCGGCGGAATGAGCGAAGCGATTAAATAATAAGTCCAATGGTGCCTTCAGGGTCATCTCGATCCTTTCGCTGACGTCCTTCAGAATACTTTTACAAGGCTTCTCCGTGAAGATCTTGGCTTCCGACGTCTGACTTTCTCCATTAAGACGCGCGTGTGGTCGTATTCATTGACATTGAACTGCCGTCCGTCTCATTCGACATGAGGCAATGAACTTGTTCCGTTTTTGAATGGGTTGTCCGTCTGCATCTTGAGCACCGCGCTGGCATTGATCGCAAATGTTGTTGTACACCCGCTCGTCTGACTGAAGTTCCTTCAGTGGTGACTCGTCCCAGATAACACTTTCGGTCGGGTTCTCCACGATGTAGTCCGTGCCGTCCTGGTTGGTAGCCTTGCATTCGTCGGCAACTCGTTGAAGAGCTGACTAATCGGCTTTCCTGTTGGCTGCCTTCACCCTTGGGTCTACCGTCTGACATGCCTGCAACCACGGTGTATACTCTGGAATATATATATATATATATATATATATATATATATATATATATATATCTTGGCTTGAATTCGAATAGCTCGTTTAAGCTTCTTGATGATACCCCGATGTCCCCCCATGCCTGAATTCCAATCGATTTCACTCCGGTATGCCCACAACGATATGCCCACAACGAGAGAGTACTGCTGCCTTAGCAATGCACTTGCATGTCCACGCTCGTGATCCTGTTGTCCAGGAGATGGTTCAGGAAACTGTCGGCGTTCAGTGGAGTGATCGCAGTCACTTTGGTCTTGTGAACAGAATGTGTTCTTGGATTCCGCAGTGATTTGTCTTGAAGCGCTGCTTCTCGTCGATGGTCAAGCCCGTCAGGTATGAGGTCTCGAGTGTAACTCTTGCCCTTGAAAGTGCTCCAGATCTTAAGACATCTTGTGCCTTGGTAACCGTTGATCTTCTCGTCGGGCATTGATGGTCCTGGTCGCCCTTATCGTTGTTGCATTGATGCCCAGAGAATGCCGTCTTCATATTCACGCAATGGTGCGCTCCAGTCGGTGGTGATGATGGCTTACTCTGCTCCCGAATATTCTTGGTATTTTGGCTGAGGTCCCTCAACTGTGTCATAATGTCCGTCTCGTTCGTCTCGGTGTTCTGTCCAATGAAGCAATTTGACTTCGCTCTGGTGCTAGTGTCCACGGGTGTTTCTGTCGCGTTGGAACTCTGCCGCGGCGCTGCCATCTCGAGTCAGTTTGAAATGCCAGAATATCTACAGATGATCTTTGATGACTCCATGGAGGTATTGTTGATCAACTTCCTCACGAACGCGTTGATTGTCCTTCGGAACAATACAGTGCTTGGAGTCGGTGGGCAACAACCTGATATACACTGGTGGGGCTTTGTTGCCTAGTCGCCGATTTTCTGGAAATGCGACCAACACGCCATCGCCATTGTCAAAGGCCGC